TACGGGAACATCAGTCATCTGCAGGAGAGGTTCTTTAGAAGGGAATTTATAATTTTTGAAGGTTCGAAGTGAAATGTTTGGTTAAAGATGCAAAAGTAACCTCCCAAAAGATCATATGAATCTGTAGTTCCTCCAACAGTGTGTGAAAGTGAATGCTCTATCTGTTACTCCAACAATGTGTGAGAGTGAATGGCTAACACTGGGTGTCATTTAATGTCTTATTTTTTCTTCAAATTAATGATAGCTATGCTTGTATATGAGCATGTGCAAGAAATAGTCAGAAATAGATATAGGTCTCTACCCCTAGTATTTGGCACAGAGCTCCTAAAACCTTTTTAATTTCTTGAGGGATAGGGGTTCCACATGTATCTCTTGCTCTAATAATTGACCTTTTATTCTGGCTTCTGACACGGAACTCCTAATCCCTGGGAACTTCTTAGGTGATAGGACTCTCTTTGTTCTAGTGAGATGACTCTTGGTGAGCTCCTGGACAGGGGCTGGCTGCCAGAAAGACTAAGCCATGATTAGAAGCTTGGAACTTACAGTTCTAACTCCTTTCTTCTAGGAAGGGGAAAGGGCTAGAGATTGAGTTAATGATCTTAATGACTATGTGATGAAGCCTTCATGAAAATCCCCGAGCTGCAGGGTACAGAGAACTTCCAGGGTATGGGAAATGTGGTATTGAAAACGTGGCATGCCCCCAAGGGGGCATGGAAGCTTCACATCCCTTCCCAAATACTTTGCCTTGTGTATCTCTTCATCTGTGTCTTTTATTATATTATTCATTAATAAACTTGGAAATGTGTTTCCCTGAAAAAAAATTGATCTGCCAAATATTTGGAAACATCCATCTAGTAGTCCTTTCTTCAGCCCCGGGAAGCTTCCTCTGACAGCCTCCGCCACCTCAAAGGCTGCTCCCAAAGTCCCTCGGTTCTGTGTCGTGAACACAGCCTCTGCTTATCTCCAATCATTGTACTCATCATATTATTTTTATCTTTCTGTCTCTTGCATTAGTTGGTAAGCAACCTGACGATAGAGAATGTTCATTTTTTGTTCCTGGTACCCAGGACAGTGACTGACACAGAACAGAAAATGTCTCTCTAATGATACATGTTCTCTATAGCAAACCTGATAGAAGACAAAGGAACACACTATTAAATCAAGTTCCGTAAACGCTGTGAAAATGTACACCAGAGCTACTTTTTGGATCCTAGCTAGAAAAAGTATAAAACCTAGAGGAGCTGGGGCAGCAAATTCCAAACTCCAGAATGACTATGGTTTCTGAAGTGCAGACTCCTACCTACTTCCCAGAAATTTGGATTAGGAACATGTGGGGTGAGGCCCTGGAAACGATAATTTTTCAGAGCCCCAAGGCAATTTGGATACGCATTTAATTAGTTTTGGGACTCACTGTTCTTGGGTAATTCCATATCTACAGAATATGAGAGCTTGAAAGCACCCTTATAGTATTTGAATACAACTTTCTCATTTTATTTTATTTTATTTTTTGAGACGGAGTTTCGCTCTTGTCACCCAGGCTGGAGTGCAATGGCGCGATCTCGGCTCACCGCAACGTCCGCCTTCTGGGTTCAAGCAATTCTCCTGCCTCAACCTCCTGAGTGGCTGGGATTACAGGCGTGCGCCACCACACCCAGCTAATTTTTGTATTTTTAGTAGAGACGGGGTTTCACCATGCTGACCAGGATGGTCTCGATCTCTTGACCTCGTGATCCACCTGCCTTGGCCTCCCAAAGTGCTGGGATTATAGGCGTGAGCCACCGTGCCCAGCCAACTTTCTCATTTTATAGATGAGGAACCTTGGGCTCAGAGAAGTGAAGTACCTTGTTCGAAATCATGCTGTAGGGGTGGTGGCTGAGCCCAGGCTAGAAGCCAGGTGACCTTGTATGTGAAGGATGGGAAATTGCAATAGGAGAACTCAGATGACAGGACTGGCATGGGCCTACCTTTCTGGTTTTCATAACAGCTTGATCCGAAGTCAATGACTTTGACAGAGATTTGGCCCTTTTGGTATAGCACTATATTTTCCTAGAGAGAAGAAAAGACATACGTCAAGCTACAGTAACACTGCCCTAGGCCCTCTGCTGACCTAAATGCTCCCCATCCTTCAGGGTCCAGTTCAAATATGACCACCTCCACGGGCCTCCTCCCACATCCTCTCCAAAATCCCATCATCCTCCCCCTCTGACTTTCCATTTGATTTGCGGTGGGTATTTCTCATTTGGACCTCATATTCACTGCTTTGCAGAGTTTCTTTTGCATATATGGTGTCACTTTCCCCATGTTGATTGTGCAGCTCCTGAAGATTGTGCCTTTGTTTTTATCTCCTTTGGCACCGGTTCTAGGCCTTGCTTGCATAAGGCCTTAGAAATGCCATTGACTGAATTTGTTTGACATTCCCATTAAACGCCTCCCTTGACATACTGCTATGACAGTAGAGCACCAAAAAAATGTCAAAGGCAGTGATTTCATTGGAGTTTGTGATTCTTACACAGCCTACGGAATAGAATGGGTGTTTTCAGAGCGTTTCCATGCCAGGACGGAGGTGGTACTTACGGGCTTGAGATCGCAGTGAATGATTTTCTCTACGGAAAGCATTTGCAAGCACTTCAAAACAGAGACAGTGAAGCGCCGAACTATTGACAGACTGAAGCCTTGAAAGCTGTTATTCTTCATCAGCTCGTACAAGTTGATTCTGGAAAAGAGAGGGGGAAAGTGATGCATGTGGGGGAAAAACAGTAGAAGGCTGAGTTTGAACCTGCAAACAATCTTGTATCACCTGGTTTCCCTTCAGTAGGAGGCAAGCCTCAGACCAGGGGCAGGGCTTTTGTGTCTTACAGATTCAGCTTTCCCACTGAATCACTGGGCTCGGGGTGAAGTTCAGCTGTGCCAGACTCTCATATGTTCTCTCATTTCTTATGTGACAAGGCCACGGAAGCACTTCGTTATGCAGGCGGGTTGGCCCAAACTTCTGAAGTAGTCATAGTTCCTCAGGCCCTTGGGAGGGACCCGGGAGGCCCACTAGTCACTCAAACCAGCAGCCACTCCTGCCCAGGCCTAATGAGGACTGTCTAAGGACATCAGGTTCCTGACAAGGAAGGAACAAGAGAGTGGGCAGGTGGGGGCTGAAGCCAAAGGGAGCCCCTGCTCTACTCAAAATGTGGCTGTTTGGTCCCATCTACCTGTTCCCTTGAGAAATGAAAGCTCGCTCTTGCCAGAGAATCTTAAACTCTCTAGGGTGGCAGAGGCCTACTATATTATTTGAAGTCTACAGAATGTTAGAACTTAGGAATGTTAGAAACTAATACAATACATTTGAAAAAGAAACATTTACTTGTGCACTGCCAGTTGCAACCTCTGTGCAAGCTGCGAGATGGGGAGAGAAGGGAAACAGCACAACCCAAGAACGGCATCAACCTTCCGCTGC